GTGGAAACATCGTTTTTACTATCACCAATGATTTTCAATAACCCTGAAAATATTACCTAAAATTTTCAGCCATGCTGAAAAATCCTGATTCCACAACTTGTCTACTTCAACTCTATTTGCAAAAATTATTTTCACATTCGTATAAAAATTATGTTAATTTTTATCAACATTACTACCGAAATCCATACCAAATGCTGATTAAATATGCACACTATTTTATTTTTTCTGTTAATCATTTAATTCAAGAAATAAAATTAAAATTGATTGATAATTGGAAAATAATTAATTAATTATTTTTCATTCATTGATAATTATACTATTCAATGATGACTCTATTCCAGATGTTACATTCCCTTATCACAAACATTTCATAAAGATTTTTACTTTTATACTCAAGGATTATTAACTTTCCAGTGGGAAGTTATTTTGAGATTAAAATTATCAGCTTATAATTGATTGAAAAAAGATTAGCTTTAATATCACAATTCTAAATGAAATCAGTGACCATATTTTCCATTTCATACCAATGATAATGGAGAAGGAAATATTTTATGAAAATTTATTACGTCAAACGCAGGAATAATATACTATATAATATCAAGGGGAGAGTTGGATGAATTCTAACATAGGGTGTTCAAGAATATGACACTTTTTATGAGCAAAGAACGGTTATCAAATTTCAACAAAAGCAATTATTCAATGAGGTATTAAAAATATACGATTTACTTAACGATTGCTTGTAAAATTAAGTGTTTTGTCAACTAAATTGATCAATATTATTAAATTAGGTGTTGAAAAGGATGTTAACTAAACCAGAAAACCAGCCGGGTGAATAAACTCATTGATGCTCCATCATCTATAGGAGATAAATAAATTTCTAAAATTACACAAAATAAAATACATTAAAATATTTATTGCATATTAAATTTATTTTAATTAATTGTTTCAATTAATAAACAAAATTCTTTGAATAGAAATTAATTTTCTGTGTGTTGTAGTTTCTTATTATTAGTACGTCTCTTGAAGTGTTTATCTTATTTAGTATGAATAAATATTTACTTTGAATTGAAGTGAATATTTGTCTCCATGATAGTTTTAAAGTAAACTTTTTTATTAATAAAATATTTTATTCAATAAATTTCCTTTACAATAAGTATTATTCTTATTTCTGCACGATTTTAAAAAAGTCACTCGAATGTCTCCAATTATAATTGGAGTAACTCTCTAAAAGAATTCATCATTTTTCTAATTTAAATCTCGTGAGAAATTTCTCTTTATTTATAATTTCCAATGATTTTTAGTATTTAAATGATATTTTTTTATAAAAATATTATTTAAATCCATTAAATAATTGTATATTAAGTTCCCAACCCACTAAATTTTATGATAATAAACATCAACAACCAAATTCATCTATCACTATAATGAATCACTTAATTGAAGTTAATTCCAAAATGTTTGTAATCATAGTTCTTTCTTCTCATTTTCTTTTATTATGACGTGAGAACCACTTTAGTCCTGCTCTCCAGTTGTCCTAGTTTGATTAATTTGATTTAGGTGCGATTCTAACTTTTTGGTAAACAAAATAAATCACAAGACAGGTATCTGTCAAGATTTTGAGAATGTCATAGGTCTCATGGGTGTAGTTACTTTCTCGAATGGTTACTAATGTCATTTAAACATCGATCGTCGGACGAATGATTGAAAAGACGAAGCGAATCAAACGAACCGACCGCAACAATCATTGGTGAATAGGTTGAACATAGCTCTTTTCGTGCAAACGACTTTTCTAAAGGTGAAAATATATATCTACACCATTTACTTGGATCGCATTTCCCCGAAGCCACCGAGGTCTTCAGTACCATTCATAGTCAAGTTTTTCATGAATGGACGTTGGAATGACCGAGGCTCAGTGATAGTCTAGCTTGAATGGCCATGAAGAGTCAAATAGGCACAAGTTACAAATGTCTATGGAGTATTGGTGAACATTTGTACAGCTAAGTAGAAGAATGAATAAGAAAGAGAGAAGAAATATACCGCCTGCTGAGTCTTTTGCGATACAAGTGTGTGGCATTGTGGCAATGTCGAGAGTCTCGCGCCATTGTCATCGCTCTTCTTTAACGCCATTAACTACGTTTTACCTTAAATTTGGCCCAAAGTGAGGGCCCTCTTGACAAATTTACGAAATCTACAGCTTTCCAAATGGTTTAACAAACATAATACGTAAATTTCTCACCCATGGAACACACGATACTGCTTTTATACCAACCAACTTTCCTACCACCACTTTCAGAAGCTTCTTGGCTTGAGAGTGGGATAAAACACCTCTGAATGAATGTGGTGGATATGACATTCAACTTTTTTCAGTTTCAATTCCACGAAAAAGAAAACATTTCTTTAAATACATCCAACACAGAAGCCAGGTCACATACCGTGTGAATCGAAAACAATATTATTTTCCTCTCACTTTTCCTAGCACTGGTGAATAAAAAAACGTTTTTTAAAAGGAAAATAAATTATCAACCGAAAAAATCACTTCATTCAGAACTTTGGAGAAAAGGATAATAAAAAAAAGTCTTGGTTTGTCAATGGCAATATTCACAGTTATGTGGATGATTGTATTTATATGGTGGATGAAAAAAAAAGGAATTTATTTCAAATAAATGAAGCAGAAATATATTGGGAAAAGAGGAAGTCCTAAAAAAGTCTATTTCTGTTGAAAAGTCTTTAATAAATTTCAAATTTGAGGAAGTGATTCTTCTTTTAAAGTAATACATTTCCCATGCACATAAAATTATGTATCAATAGAGTTGGAGGAAACATCAACTGCTAGAGCTATGCAAATTTGGTGTTTATTAGTCAGATTTGATGGCTCAGGTCTGAATTGGTATCATGTAAATTGCCAATTGTCATGCCAATTAATTTGAAACAGTTGCATTTTTACCATTTGGTGGGAAAATTATTTTTGACTCAATAATTGGTAATTGAAATGAAAAAGAGTCATATCATCAAGTCGCTTATAAACACAATCAAAAAGATTAGATTGAAATAAATAAAAGCTGCTAACTGGTAGAAAGATGTTACTTAAATATTAAAAATGTTTTATAAAAATATTTAACAGATTATTATTTTTATAATTTAATATTAAAACCCATAAAAAGAAGCTTGATCAATGGAGTACAATTGTATATTGATGATGAGATCTGACCTGATTAATCAATGTCATGATTTGATTCATCACATTTCACTGTGAAATGCACTGAAATAATTGAAGCATCACAATGTCAATGCAAGATTTTTTTTTATTTAAAAAAAAAATTCAGTTATATAGAAAAAGAATTTAAATTGAAAAATAATACAGAAGTATCAACAAAGGCACAGATACATTTGAACCCTAATAAATAACACTATACACGAGCCAAGATAATTTATTCTCTTTTCATTCAGATATTTTTTTCCAAAGATTTCCATAAACCTCATTGGAAAGTTGGAATAGTATTTTTTCATTTAAAATACACGTGCTGTTGGTTGAATACAATCTAATATGACTGCTCTGAGGTGAAGTCAACTGCACGTAGCATGATGTTGACAGTTTTTAATTATAATTTATATTATTGAAAATATTCAGATGGTTGAATTCAGTTACTTGCTCGATATATTAAACTTTCCTCTAGTTTAAATTAATGACTATTGTTTAGAACACATAAATGTTCATTATATCGTAATCTCAATAATGAATCTTGGTAAGTGTATTAGAGTTTGAAATTGAAGAATCACTTGGTTTGGTCCTTTTTAATTTATTATGAAGTAATGTGGGTTGATGAAAACTTTTATATCAGTTTTAAAAGTAGAAAACAAAATCTTTCGATACTATTTAAAAAACTTTAAGATTTTAAAATAACTCATTTTGATGAGCTTAGAGGTAAGAATTTTGAAATAATTTTATTTTAATCTTTTAATTGAAGCACCATTTTTGCTCTGCTGATGATTTGGCTTAAATTTTACTATAATCTTAAAGAAGCTTATAGTCTATTGCCTAATGCAACGTGAAGAACAGATTTGGGAAAGTCTTTTAGAAGAAAGCAATTTAGTTACAAGAGAATGCATAATTTTGAGTTGATTTCAACTAACTAAAATCTAAATTTATCTGTTCAAGAATAAAACATCAACAAAAATAAGAATTTAAAATAAATATGAATTTCAAGACTGGTATTTCCTATTTCTATTCTATTAGTATTTATCATCAGTAATTTTAGAAAGAAGATAAAACCTTTGAGAGTGTAGAGATAAAGTATGGCATGTGTCGTGATATGTGCTGCAGGGTTGAGCTCTCTTTTAAGACCAATTACTCTTGATTTTTCATCAAATAATCTGATCTTTATATTTCAAAACATCGGATTTTTTTACAAGCTAACAAATGTTATTTGAAAAAATATACTTCGTGTTCCATTGAAGAGAAGCAATATTTGTATTTTATTGGAAAAAATACTCAATACTTCTGTTTGAATATTTTTTCAAGTACAAATCCTCTAAAAATGATTCTAACCAAGTACTATACCAATGTACACATCTGCTAGTTCTTGTTTTACGATCCAAACGAAAGGTTTATTTTCAAGTTTATCGTGCACTGTTACCTATGGAAGAAGCACTTTCAAACCCAAATAAAATTTTTGTATACATTTATAAAATGCTCAATAAATTTTGAAGGATCATACCAATAATATCTTATTCATCTACCACTTTAATAGCACTATGCAACAACAATAATTCAACGAGAAAAAAGGAAATTTAAAATAGAAATAAATTTTGAAGAGAAAAGGTCGAGTGAATATTTATAAACTAAATAAAAAGAATCATTTTTTAAGTAAAAATCTTATTTATTTTTGTATTATTTACTGTTTACTAATATGCAATATTTTTTGATAAACTTATTCTTAAATATACAATTTAATTCATGTATTAAAAATATACAAAATTTACAAAATTGCTTTTCACTGAATTTGTCACTATTTATTCTAATAATTTATTATTTTATTCATTTTAAATATTAACTGACAGTCTTATTATCATGAATCTCATGAATTAACAATACTTTCTACAGTATATTTAGTACAAGTATTATTTCTCACAATTGGTGCATCTTTAAAAGATGTGATATAAGGATGAGATAAAATTTTCTTTCTGAAATTTACTGGTCCACCGAACGTCTCTAAATTTCTTTTACTAGATAGAGGTACTTGACAAGAATCTCCTTGTCGATCTTCATAATTATAATAACCAGGAAACCTAGAGTACTCAACGTCAGTAGGTGAATCTTGTGCTTGAATAACATCAGTCTCTTTACATTCAACTTTAATATCTTGTTGTTCATCTTCGTCTTGTTCATCTTGAATTTTATCGTCATGTTCACAAGTATCCTTTTTCTGAGATTCATCTTCTCCAGAGCATTTACTTGTCTCTTCATTGCAACCGTCTTTTTTATTTTTACCGCACGTTCTCAAGCAACAACATTTTGCACTTTGTCCCGATGGTATATCTTCTTTCTTATACTTTACTCGACGGTTTTGAAACCAGATCTTCACTTGTTTCTCTGATAATTTGAGATTCGTGGCTATCTCAATACGCCGAAGACGAGAGAGGTACATATTAGCAGCGAATTCTCGTTCTAATTCCAGAAGTTGGTGACTAGAGAAAGCTGTACGTACTCTTTTGGATGAATTATTCAAAGCACTTGGTGATTTTGGTGGTGGAGTTGGACTATGGCTTCTTGTTGGAGATTCATTTGCACAAGATGTATCTGTAAAATCATCAAAGTTCTCGTCAGCACATAATTAAATGACTATCTCACATTTTCTTTATTCATTTTATTTCTTTGATTAATATCTCATTTATTTAATTATTGCAGTCAACGAAATAATTTTTACATTAATTGTTCTGATTGTTCAAATTAATCACAAAGTGGAGTTTAAAATTATAAATTAATTTGAAAATTTCCTATGCAAAATGTGATTATTTATTAAAGAGATATTTACCTGATAATCGACTTGCAGGAGAGTTCATTGGTGATGGCGGACTGCGTCCAGGAAGAGGAATTCCCATAACAGCCGGCGGACTTATTGGAACCGGAACAGATAAAGCTGGAGGTCGTGGTACAGGTCGTATAGGTTGATAACCCAATCCAAGATTAAAGAAATTGAACATATAATTTGGTAACTGATTTCCGTAGTACGGAAGTGGATAATTTGGTGGTGAATTATTGCCAATAAGAGAATCCACTAAGAAGCTTCTCGACATTTTGAAGTTGTTCCTGTTATCTTAAGTAAGAATCACTTAAAGTTCACTAATTCACTAATCACTTCTAATCCAAAAAGTTCCAGAAATGTTTTGCTCAAAAAAGAACGGTGAACTTGGACCACTTTTAGAAACATAGATCTGTACGAATCGACAGTTCAGGAGGTTCTGATGTTTGGGGTCCAAGCAGGGAGATATATAAGTGCAGCTGACTCCACCCAGGGGTTGGTTTTTCATCTGGGGGTTTTTGGTCCCCCCCTGCTCCGCCCTTTTGGAAGGGCATTTTCGTTTACTCGAGGGCACTTGTTCTTTCTCGCTCAGGTACTCATCTAAAGCTCTCTTTCTCTAGGGAACTGACAATGAGATGGGATATGTTCCAACGCACTAATTCTGACCAATCTCGTGCTTATGTACCTTCTAAGGCATCACCCTGACCTTTTAGTATAGATGCTGGGGAGCCGCCTGTGTATGAATAGAAAACGATTGATCTCGTGTGCTTCCTCTTTCATTTTTAGGGCTTTGCTGTCAAATCTACCATCTCCAATAATAATCCAATTTTATTATTTATGACTTCTTATTATTAGCTTTTATATTAATTCCTTTTTGAGAGAATATTATTACTATCTAGCTATTAACTTTATTGATTGATTATTAAGAAGTAACTACAAATCGGAAATTGAAAATTCAAAGAAAGCAATCACGATAAGCGAATAACAGAATTCAAAAAGTCACTCTGTATTCAATTTATCTATAAAATATTCAAGAGTTTCTAATAATGTGAGTAAAGCTGGTTATTAATGAATCGGATCAATGTTTTCTCAAGTTTTTCTCTAGATTTAAACATCATTTTCAACTTTGTTAAATCTCTTTCCGATCAATAATACTTTTTCTTAGCAAAGTATTTACTCTGTATTTAATGAATCCTTTTTTTTATTGTAAAAAATATTTATGAGCTAATTAATGAGGTGAGAACATGCATAATTAATATTTTATAGACTTATTTATGATTAATACATTTAATTTCCTACAGTTGAATTAATTTCATTTCTGAATGTTTACTACATCAAAGTGTGTGCATGATAATTACTATTTCATAAACATAAATCAACGTAATAATTAAATATTAATTCTAATTAATTTATTGAATCCCATTTTTGTTATTTAAACTCGTGCTTTGTTGACATGACTAAATAAATTGTTAGCATCATGTTTCCATTATTTAATATCTAATACGACATTATCATTGTAAATTACTGTGTGATGTTGTTGATAGAATTTGATATTACACTCTTATGTTTTATTCAAATTACATAGTATCTACTGTAATGTATCCATTCAGCTGAAAAGCTGGCAGCAAAGGCTACTAAATGTTGTGTGTTATATCCTTCTCTAGGGACTATTGAGTATTCATTTGTATAATGTATGAATTAATTTTTTTTTTCAATTACGAGCATTGAAATTCTACAGAAATAACGGAAATACACGTAACCCATGGAATGGAAAATTGACAGTTAAATTACGATCATAACTTACACCTGCTGGAATATTTACAAGGTTCAGCGAAGAAATTTATTACCTATATTAAATAGACATATAACGGAAACACACTGAAATGGAGTATAAAAGTTTTATGTAAATTTCAGTTTTTTCATTTTATTTGAAAACTTTTTTCGTCACTAAAGATTTTTAACGACCATCGGACAAATAAAAGCATGGAATGGTCGAGATATAAATTAAAAATGTTGGATCTCTGATGGAAAGCAATATCACACCGAAAAGAACAGAGTGATTTTATTTGAATCAATGAATAATAGTAGCAAAGTGTAATAAGTGAGGTAAACATCAGATTCCTTACTGCAAAAAAACGCAGTTTTTATGAATGACATTTTAATGTTCAATAAACGTATAGATTTTTGTAAGAAATTATAAATAACAATGAAATTAATTGTTTTGTTATTAAATGGTGAGAATTAGATAATATTTACGGAAAAAATATATTGACCACCCACTAAGCGATCGTACTATCTTATCGCAGCTTAACTTAGCAGTATCTCTTTGCTTGAGTAAATTTTCTTGATAGCTCACACTTCAGTTTCTGGAAAAGCGTATCGTATTTTTGTCATTAAGCCACGTGATTAAAATTTTTTATGTATAGATGAGTAGGATAAAAAATAAATTATCATCAGCAAAAGGATTAAAGATGATGGTCACTGCAACTATTTGAAGATTTGTGGTCATCACATCCGTATGAATGAAGAATTCATTATTTGTATTTTATTTTTATAACATTTATTTATAAATATTACATCCTTGATATGAAATATACTATCTCCAATACAAGTGTATGCTACACTTTGTTTCGAGCAACATTGGAATTGTAATATGTCATTGCTATGATGGTAAATGTAAATAAAATGAAAATCCTTGATGCAAATATCACACATCTCAGAAATATAATATAATTTCTGTGTTGATCAGATTATTTCAATGCATAGGAAATTAATGTATTATTTTCTCTTCATAATATATTTTAATGCTATTAATTGATAATAAATAATTCAGTCAGTTCACTATAGTTAATACTCTCAATTACATTCTATCATATATTGTCACGAATACTATTGCAAATTAAATACAGCAGCATTGTAAATATATTGTACACGAAATAAAATATTAGTATCATACTCGTTCCAAGCATTCTCAGAAGCATATTGATAATTTATTCGTGTGAGAGTAACACATTGTCGGAGTTCCGATGATCTTTGATTAAACAAACATTAGCTACATTAAGTGTTAGCAATGATAGTAAAATACTGTATTATCATTTTAATTGTTACTTGTCTATGGAAGACACAAGCTGATGTTAACAATGTTTTTTTTAAAACCTTGAATAGTAGATCTAAATACAGTTTTTTATCAGCTCTATTGGTGAGTTTCTCTCGAAATCGATTAACATATGTTAGTACTATAATTTTTTACTTGTAATTCCAGAAAAATTTACTAGAAACATGTGATCTTGGCTCAAGAAAAATAATTATCTACGATAATTTTTATAATTCGGAAACTTTTAATGCTATTGCCGAACGTCAGCCGAATCTTTCAGCGTCACTTTTCACTGATATAGAAAAATGGAAACAGATACGCCGATACCAATTTGATGATTTACGAGTTGATGCAGTTATAATCGTGGTTAAAGTGAAATTAACTTGGCTACATATGCAAGAAATTTTCAATGAATGGCGTTACAATCGAGATTGCATAGTTTATATATTAGTGGTAGAAGCAAAGGATTGCGAAAGTTATAAATTGGTTTTGAGTCTGATCATGAGATTCTATATTCCTAAGGCATATTTCATTTGTTTTCAAGTACGAACTATGCATGTTTATACCCATGATCCTTATGGAGACACTCAGCCTCTATATTGGCATAAAATTAATCAAGGTCTTCTTTGGGGAAAGAACTGGACATTTTACACAAGATCATTCAGCATAAGTATTTATGAATTTTTACGAATTATTCATTAAAAATTATATACAAAAAATGTTTCCATGTTAACTCCCAAATTTTTTCTTATTTTTTTAGATAAGAGTCAATTATGTCGTGGATTTGACTTTAAGAGAACCGATCCAAGTAACCAAAAATTCGTGATCTTCGGGTTAAGCAGATACGATCACAATTACACTCATATAGAAGATAAGACCTGCTTATACGCCGATAGAATAGTAAAATTTCTGGAACGTCGTGATCGAATGACAATTGCTTTTCTTGAGATGCTAATGAAACGTAAATTTTTATATCTTACAGTAAAAGTAACGAACGATACAGAACATTTTGAACAACAAGCGTACGATTTTTCCGGGGTTGATGGACTACTTATACGTATGATGTTTAATGTGTTCAGTTCCTGGAATTATTTTTATCCAATCGTGTATGAACCCTTAGCAATTCTTTCTCACAATCGTGGTTCTATGACGCCTTTGGAAAAAATTACTAAATTTTATGGCAAATGGACGTTATCATCGCTTATCATCATCCTTATGATTACATTTGTGGTGATGTGGTTCTCGACAAAAAGATTCAGTTTTGCAATTTTTAATGTTCTCAGACTCTTAATCAATGCTGAAATCGTTACACCGATGAATACATGGCGATTGAAGTTATTTTTTAGTATGATTTTTTTGTATTTTTTGGTCATTCACGCAACATTCAGTGGTCATTTAGCTGAGTTTCTGACTAAAGTTGAATATCGACCTAATATTGATACGCTCGAACAATTGAAGGATCCTGATATCGAAAAAATATATAATTTCGGTTATATCAAGCATAGAAACGAAGACTTAGACTTTTTACCTCAAAAACTAGAATTTATTTCTAGATCAAGAAAATGCAAGGAGAAAATGAATCAAACAAATCATGCTTGTATCGCACCAATGGTAGTACTCAAAGACACTATTGTGGATCTTCATGCTTTTGACACTCTTTACATAAGCAAAAATACATTTGGACTTACTTTTTTTTAGTTACCCTTGTAGACCAGGGTTTCCTTTGCGTGAAAAGTTTGATTGGGCGTTCATATTTTTATTTGACACTGGCATCATCACACGTTGGACAAGAATGAAGCATGTATTAAATTTGAGAGCAATTACGCAACATCTTGTGCTTCATCGTGTTAACTACCGAACTATTAAGATTAGTGACGTTAGCTTTGCATTCATCTTTTTCATAATTGGTAACTTTTTGGGATTTCTTTGTTTCATATTTGAAATTACTTCCAAAAACCAGTGCAACAAATTGAAGTGCAAAACCAAAATAAAACCCGATATTGTAAATATTGAAGTGCAACCTGATCAACACTGAAAACAAGTTTCAGTTGAACCAGTTTTTTTTTTTTTTTTTAAGTTCTGAAGTTGGACAAGTGACTTTCTTTCTCCCACAGCTAGAGAAAGACAGCACACGAGTGCGTTTTCGCGGAGACGATTTTCTTGTCTTTCGCTGGGGAGATGAGTTGTTTGTAAACCTCAAAACCGAGACGCAACGAAAACTTCTGGGGAGAAGAAGGGAGAGAGTATGACAAAATATCAATTAAATTCAATAGTTCTGAACCTCTCAAATGTTTTTGGATAAAGTTAAAAGTTGTATTATCGACATCTAATAG